AATTGGACCCCCCCCCCCCCCCCCCCCCCCGGCACTGCCCCCCCGGCAGCCCTCCAGCCTCTCCCCCTCCCCGCTGGCCCCGAGAGATGCCGCTGTCCCCGCCGCTGTCACCCCGCAGCTGCCCCAGGGGAGGGGTCTCTGCACCAGCTGCCGCCCCCAAGGCGGGGCTGCTGAGTGCTCCACCCTGGCCCGGTGGCTCCTGGAGGGGGACGCGCTGGTGACATCCCCAGGGTCCACATCTGGGTCAACAGTGGGGATCTGGGGGTGGGGGGATAATTTTAGGGTGTGTCCTCCCACTGCTCCCACTCCACGGCACTGTCCCCCTCATGCACACAGGGGGGGCACAGCGGTGCATGAAAGAGGGGGCAAACAGGCTGCATGTCCTGTGTCCCCCCGTGCCCCCCCTGCGTCCCCACCCCGCATGTGCCCCCCCCGCATGTGTCTCCCCTCGGCACGTGCCCCCCCCAGCATGTGCCTCCCCACAGCTTCTGAGAGCTGCAGCCAGTGTTTGTGATGCTGCGAAACACTCGGCGGGTCTTAAACCATCCCCCACACAAAGGCACACCACTGGCCCCCCTGCCAGGGGTCCCCCTCTCCCGCCCCCTAATTTGGCTCTGGTTTAAGCCCCGACCTCTCAGTGCCCGCCTGCTTTCAGAGGAGGGACCGGGACCCTTGGGGACGCCCTGCTAGGGACTCCTGAGGAGACATACGGCCACGAGGGAGGGATGTGTGGGTCATCTCCTCCTCCCAGCATCTGCCCACCCCCTCTTTTGGTGCTGATGGGTGCCACCCTGCTGTCACTGAACTCGTCACCGCACGTCCCCCCTCAACTTGTGGTGCCAACCGGGGGAGGGGTCCCTCAGTGTGGAGGAATGAGAAGGATGCTCAAGGTGACACCCCCTGCCCTCCACACCCCCAAAACCACTTGTGCCCCACCATGTCCCCATCACCCTCTATTACCCGACTGGCCAGAGATCGTGGTAGCAGTGGCAGATGCTCATACCCGTGCCCGTCCTTGTCCCCCTCCAGGGAGACAGGGGGGGCACAGGCAGCTGTCCCCACCCCCTGTACTCAACTCATCTTTTTTATGTTCTTTTTTTTATGTTTTTCCCCTTTTCCTCTTTCCCCCCGACCCCGTTTCTCTCTTGCCCCCCCCCACTCTTCTCTCTTGCTTTCCTCTCTGCATTTGTCCAAGGTAAGCCAGCCCTGCCCCCCCCACGCGGGGGCCACCAGGATGGGGACCCTCTCAGGTTGGGGGCACCTCTTTCCCCCAGTCTGAGGACTTGCTGAGTTTGGGGACCCCTCCCACCAAAATGGGGACACCCTGCCTGGATGGGGATCTCCACAGGTTAAGGACATCCCTCCCAGGATGGGGACAGCCCCCCAAGGTTGGGGACCCCCCTGAGTTGGGAACCTCCCACTAGTATGGGGACACCACCAGGATGGGGATGGCCCCACAAGGTTGGGGAAACCCCTCCCTGGGTGGGAACGCTCTCTTCCCCCAGGACAGGGACCTTCCTGAAGTTGGGGACACCTCCAGGTTGGGGACACCCCTCCCAGCATGGAGAACCCCCCAAAATGGGGATTCCCTAGGATGGGGACACTCCACCCAGCATGGGGACTCCCCCCAGTAAGGGAACACCCCCAGGATGGGGACAACCCTCCCAGCATGGGGACACCCTCAAAATGGAGACCCCCTTGGAATGGGGACACCCCTCCCCGAATGGGGACCACCCCTCTAAAATGGTGACCTCCCCCAGGATGGGGATACCACCTTCCTTGTGTGTTCCCCCTCTCCAACACTGGGGTGGCAGGTGCTGCTAGCACCCGGGGTGGGATCAGGTTGGGTGGCCGGGAAGGGTCTGGATTTCTAGGGACATGCAGTGTCCCTTGTGCTGGGGGGGCGCACTGACACTGTCTCCCCCCGCAGCAGCTAAGAGCTTACTGAACAAGAAGGCGGACGGTGTGAAGGTGAGGGTCCAGAGGGGCTTGGGCGGGGGGGGGGGGGGGGGGGGGTGCTTCCCCCCCATGCCACTGAGACCCTTCCATCTCTTCCCTCCAGCCCCAGACCAACAGCACCAAAGGCAGTGCTGGTGTCACCAGCCCCAAGGGGACCCTCCCGCCCACCGCTCTGGTAGGTGCCCCCTACCCTGCACCCCCTAGATCCCACATCCCATCGGATCCATCCCACCAGCCCATCCCATCCATCGCCATGCGCGCCCCTGACCGGCTGTTCCTGGGGCTGCTGGGGAGGGGAGTGTCCCGAGGATGGAAAGGGGTGTGCAGGACATGGGCACAAGGTGACCCCCCCTGGACAGACAAGGTGGGTGAAGGGTGCAGGCATGTGGACAGCCCCTGTCTCCCTCAGCCATGGGGACAGTGGCATGGGTGCAGGACACAGTCGTGTCTCACCACAGGGACAAGGTAGGTCCAGGACATGGACACAGAGGTGTTCCTGCCATGGGGACAGTAAGGTGGGTGTAGGATGTGGGCATGAGGATGTCCTGTGACTGAGGCAGGTACAGGACATGGGTATGGGGGTGCCCCACCATGGGAACAAGGTAGGTGTCCCATAATGGGGACAAGCCACAGGCAGGAGGATCCTGGTGACACGGATGGTGAGGTGTGTGAAGGGTTGGGGGACGGGGACACCCTGCCATGCCAGTGGCAAGGGAAGTGCAGGGTCACAAGGATGAGGCTGCTGACTGTGACCTCACAGGTGAGGTAAGTGCAGGATCCAGACACAGGACTGCCCAGCTGGCACAGGGAGTGCAGGACACAAGTAAAGGTGTGGCTGTCTGGAACAGCAGGTGCAGGATTTGGGGAGTGGGTGCTCTGGCAATGCCAACAGCAAGGTAGGTGCAGGATGTGGGTGCAGGGGTGCCCGTTGTGACCTTCATGGCACAGGGGATGCAGTACAAGGGCAGGGACGTGGTACCATGAGGGCAGGATACAGGCAGGATGATGCCCAGCTGGCACAGAGTGCTGTGCACTGGGGAAGATGTGCCTGGCTGGTCAGTGAGTGCAGGATATGGAGAAAGGGGTGCCCACCCCACACAGTGAGGGTGGGATGCAGGCAGTGGGAAGCTGTGGATGGTGTTGCTTGGGATGTGGGCACTGGGATGGTCAGGGTCCAGACACAGGGACGGTTGGGATGCAAGCTGAGGGATGCTTGGGATGCAGGCAGTGCAGTGGTTGGGATGCAGACAGTGGTATAGTTGGGATGCAGGCTGCAGGATGATTTGGATTCAGGCACAGGGAGGCCCAGGATGCTCAGATGCATGGTGAGTGGAGCCCCTGGGCACCGGGATGCAGGACAGGGGCATGGAGCTGCCCTCCAGCCCAGCCCATCCTTTTGGCCTCACTGCGTCTCTCCCCCAGCTCTGTCCACCTCTTTCTCCCCTTTTTTCCCTCTCCATGTCTGTGAATTAAACCATTTGGCTTTGCTGGACTAATGACTTTCTGCTTCTCTCCCCCCTCTCTATCCCCTTCCCAAATCCGGTCTGGGTCTCTCCTCACCCCTGTCCACGTGCTGCTCAATCCGTCGTTCCCCCTCGTTGTCCCCTCCGGGCTCTCGCTTCCCCCACCCCCGCCTCTGTCTCTCTCCCTTCTCCCATAGGAGCCTCAAACTACTGTAATTCATAACCCCCCGGACGGCACCAAGGTATCGCTGCCCCTGCTTTCCACCTCCATCCTCCCCCCAGCATCAGCCATGTCTTGGGGGGGTGGTGACGTGGATGAGGAGTGCACATGGGGCGTGGTGACAGCAGGGTACCCCCATGGCGTCCAGCATCATTGGGGTCCTGCCAAGCCCTGGTTGGGCTTGTCCCCCCTCCCCATTCCCCCGGGGCCAGGTCTGACCCCCCTGTTTGTGTCTCCCCCCCACCGCCTCCGTCCCGCGAGCAGGAGTCCTCCGACAGCACCAACACCACCATTGAGGACGAGGACACCAAAGGTGACGGGCGCAGGGGGCGTGGCGGCAGGGTTGCACTGGGTTGCACTGGGAGGGAGTTGGGGTGCACTGGTGTGGTGCTAGGATGCATTGGGTTGCACTGGAATGGCACTGGGATGCACTGAGAAGGTCTTGGAATGCACTGGGATGGTGCTAGGATGGCACCAGTATGCATTGAGGTGCACTGGAATGGTACTGGGATGAACTGGGATGGCACTATGATGGACAGTTGTGGAATGCACTAGGATGGCACCAGGATGCACTGGGATGCACTGGGAGTGTGCTGGAATGCACTGGGCTGGAGCTGGGATGTGCTGGGATGACACTAAGATGCACTAGCGTGCACTGGAATGGCACTGGGATGGCACTGGCATAGCACCAGAATGCATTTGGTTCACTGGGATGCACTGGAGCAGCACTGAAATACACTGGGATGTTGCTGGGATGGCACAAGGATGCATTGGGGTACACTGGAATGGCACTAGGATATGCTGGGACTGTGATGGGGATGCACTGGGATGCCACTGGAGTATACTGGGATGGCACCAGGATCCGTTGGGGTGGAGCTAGGACACGGGAAGTGTGCTGAAGGGAGTGCATTGGAATAGAGCTGGAATGCATTGAGTTAGCACTAGGATGCTTTGGATTGCACTGGAATTGCACTGGGATGAACTGGGGTGGAGCTAGTATGGCACCAGGATGCAGCTGGTGAACTGTGATGTGCTGGGGCAGCAATGGAATGCACTGGGTGAGATTTGGGATGGCAACAGGATACGTTGGGATGGCACTGGGATAGTGCTAGGATTCACTGGGGTACACTGGAATGGCACAGGGCTGGCAGCAGTACGCATTGGGGTTGTACTGGGACATTTTTGGGATGCACTGGAATGGATCTGGAGTGTGCTAGGCTGGAGCTGGACTGACACTAGGATTCATTGAGACTGCACCAGGATGCACTGGGAGCACACTGGGATGCACTGGGAGGGTTCTAGCATGCGTTGGGGTGCACTTGGATGGGAATTGTATAGATTGGGACACGCATGGAATGGCAACTGGGGTACATTGAAAAGGTGTTGAGGTGGCATTGGGATGCCTGATGATACTGGGACACGGTGGGATGGTACCAAGAGGCACTCTGGGTAGAGCTGGGCCGTACTGGGATGTATGGAATACCCTGGAATAGCAGTGAGACACAGTTTGTTGGCACTAAGACGTAGTGTGAAGTCACTGGCACAAACTGGAGTGTACTGATACACTCTGGAGTAGTGCTGGGTCATACTGGGATGGAAATGGGCTGTGTTGGAATGCACAGGAGTGACCCTGGGATGCACTAGGAGGGCATAGGAGTGACAATGGGATGCACTGGGACAAACTGGGATACAGTGGAGTGGCACTGAGGATTGGAACTTATTAGGATGACGAAAGAATGGACTGGGGAGTGCTGGGATATGGTAGAATGGTGCTAAGATTAATTGAGATGCACTGGAGTGGCAGTGGGATGCACTGGATGGAACTGAGGATACTGGAATGCACTAGAATGGTACTGCAATTAACTGGAATGGTACTGGGATGTATTTGGATACACTGCAATAACACTGGGACACAGAAGCTTGGCACAGAGATGCAGTGAGATACTACTGGGGTGCACCAGGGCAAACTGGAGTGTACTGGTATGCTCTGGAATAGCACTGGGATGCACTAGGATTGAAACTGAGGTGACTGGGATGGCATCAGGATGAAATGAGTCATTGGGATATAGTGGGATATGGTACACTGGAATGATACTGGAACACACTGGAATTGCACTGGCACACACTGGAATTGAACAGCATGATGCTGGGATGCACTGGGATGGAACTGGGATGAACTGGAATATACTAGAAGGGCACTGGGACACAGTAGGTTGGCACTGGATTGCACTGAAGTGCAGTGGGATGGCCCTGAGATGTATTGGTGTAAACTGGGGTATATTGGGATGCCCTGGAATGGTACTGGATCACCCTGGGATGTGACTGAGATGTGGAATGGCACTGGAATGGCACTAAAGTGTACTGGGCTGTCACTGGAATGCAGTAGGATTGCACTAGGCTGGAACTGGGGTGTACGGTAATGCACTGGGCTGGCACTGGGATGCATCGGAGGACACTGGAGCAGCTCTGGGATGCACTAGGATTGCACTGGGATGTATCGGGATGCACTTGCATGGAACTGGGAGGGTACTGAGATGCACTGGAATGGCACTGAGACACAGTGGGCTGGCACTGAGAAACACTGGTATGGAACTGGCTGTTTTGGGATGTGCTAGAATGGCACTGGGATATACTGGGACTTGCAGGAGTAACATTAGGATGCACTTGAAACTCCTGGGACATGCTGAGCAGGCACTGGGATGCTTGAGCATGCTGGGAGGGCACTGGATGGCACTGGGACATGCAGGGGTGGCACTGGACTAGCAATGAGACATGCTGAGAGGGTTCTATGAATACTGGTGTGGCAGAACTGTGGGGGTCCTGGGAGCACAGTGGTGCCTATCTGTCCCCAAGGGGTGTCTTTCTGTCCCCATGGTATCTGTGTCTGTCCTCAAGGTCCCTGTGTCTGTCCCTGTGGTCTGGCTGTCTGCCCTCATGGTCGGTCTGTCTGTCCCCAAGGTCCCTGTGTTTGTCCCCATGGTCCATCCCCATGGTCTATCTGTCTGTACCCAAGGTTCTCCTTCCCCCAAGATCTGTCTTTCTGTCCCTGTGTCTATCCCCATGCCTCCCCTTCATGTCCCACGTCCATCCCAACATCCTGTCCGCCCACCCCCACGGTGTCACCGGGGGGCTGGGGCAGTGGCGGTGACAGTGACGTGCCCCCAGCCCGCAAGCAGGAGATCATCAAGATCACGGAGCAGCTCATCGAGGCCGTCAACAACGGGGACTTCGAGGCCTACGCGTGAGTGGGGTGGGGCCGGGTGGGGCGGGGACAGGTGGGGTGGGGCCAGGCGGGGCCACTCTCACCTGCTGCCTGCAGGAAGATCTGCGATCCGGGGCTCACCTCCTTTGAGCCCGAGGCACTGGGCAACCTGGTGGAGGGGATGGACTTCCACCGCTTCTACTTTGAAAACTGTGAGTACCCGACCTGCCTGTGCCCACCTGGCCACCTTGCTTGCCCTGCCCGTCTTCTCCGTGTCCCAGCCCAACCCGATCCAGCCGGTGTCCCCGCCTGTCCACCGTCTCTTGCCCACTGCCTGCCCATCCTGGCCCCCTCGCCTCCCCTGCTGGGCCATCCGTCCGCTTGCACTGCCCTTGTGCCTGCCCCTTCCCCTTCCCCTTCCCCTTCCTCCCCCGTTCCCTGCGCCGTCCGTGCGCGTTCCCCTGCCCGTGCCAGCCGCGCTGATCTCGGCCGCCCCGCAGTGCTCTCCAAGAACAACAAGCCCATCCACACGACCATCCTGAACCCACACGTGCACGTCATCGGGGAGGACGCGGCCTGCATCGCCTACATCCGCCTCACCCAGTACATCGACGCGCAGGGCCGGCCCCGCACCAGCCAGTCCGAGGAGACCCGCGTCTGGCACCGCCGCGACGGCAAGTGGCAGAACGTCCACTTCCACGGCTCGGGGGCCCCCGTCGCCCCGCTGCAGTGAAGGTGAGGGCGGGCTTGGGGCTCGGGGGATGGGGAGCCCCAGTTGTGGCTCACCGGGGTGTCCCCACAGAGCTTGCGGTGGCTGTCCTGGTTCCAGCCCGATGGAGACGGCGATGGGAGCCGAGGCGGCAGCCGGAGCTGCGGCCCCCCGAAGCACGCGTCCGCATGCCTGTCCCCCCTACCCTGGCCCCTGCTCTCCCCTCCAGTGCCTGTGTTTGCAGAAAACAAAAAGAAAAAAAAAAAAAAAAAACCCAAAAAAAAAAAAAAAAAAAAAAAAAAAAACAAAAAAAAAAGAAAAAAAAAAAGAAAAAAATAAAAGGGGAAAACTCCACCCCAATCCCAAACCCACCCACACCCCCAAACCTAACCCAGCCGCTCGGCCACAGGCGAGGGCGCTGGGGGGCTCAGCCCCCCCCCTCGGCCCGTCTCTGCTGGGGGGGAAGGGGGGTCCCAGCCCCCCTCCCGGCTGTGCTCGTGGCGTGTTGCTGTCGCTGGTGGTGGATGTCGTTCTTTGGGCTCTGCTTTGCTCTGTCCTGCCCCAGCCCCTGTACATAGAGAGAGCTATTTATTTTTTAATTCCCACGGGGGTCCCCAGCAATGGGGGGCTGCCAGGGGGTGAGTGAGGTTGGGGGGGGGGGACACACACAGACTCTCTCCCCTTCTCCCCAGTCCAGTGCCTCCCCTGGGAATGCTGCCTATGGGGGCCTGAGGCTTATCCTGGGCACTGCTGCGCAGGGAACACGGTGGGTGCCTTTGGGAGGGTCCACCAGTCACACCCCCGTGTCCCCATCCTGCTGATCCCTACCCCAGCACCCCATGTCACAGGTGCCAGCTCCAGGTGCTGGCAGGTTTTGGCAAGGGGGATGTGGGTGCCATGGCAGAGGGCAGCTGGGGGGTGTTGGGATTTGGGGTGGTGGGCTCAGGACGATCCAGCCAGCACTGACGCAGCATTGAAAGCACTTTAGACTAAGAGAATGGGTCTCTTAGGGGGCACAGGCTGCTCTGCCGGGGACTCCCCAGCACAGGGGCACCGGCAGCACATCCTGCACCCCCCCTCCCATGGCCAGCGCTCGGGTGGACTCCATCACCCCCAACCCCCCCATCCCTGGGGAGGCATCACTCCACTCCCAGGCACTCCCCACGCAATTCCCCAGGGCATCCCCACCATGCTGAGGGCTGGTTTTGGCTGGGGGGGAGGGGGCGGGATGGGCGGGGGATATTAATTATTTTTTAATTATTCTGATGATTTCTCTGCATGCCCTTTGCGCGGGAGCAACCCTCGGGCGCTAACGCTGTATGTCGAGGAGCTGAGCTGTTCCTGTCCCATGAATGCTGGTGGATCGTTGCCAAATTTTTCTCTTTCCTCCCCTTTTCTCTCATTCTTTTTCTGTCTTCCCCTCCCCAGCATATCCCCCCCATGCCCCTCCCCCCAAAAAAACCCTTTGTCTTTTCTTTCTGAGCCTTGTAAGTGTAAAAGATGACTCTGATTTCGTTTTTGTCTCGGGAAAACTGCAAATAAATTATGAGGAAAAACCAATGATCATTAAGGTAAGAGGTGGAGAGGGAAGGCCAAGTGCATCCGTCCCTGCCAGAGTGCCCAGGACGTGTCCATCTGAAACCCCAGCCCGGGACGCCACAGAGAGGGAACAGGGCTTCAACTGCCAAAGACAACTTTATCCCCCTGGCCGGTGCGGCCAAGGCATGGAAACAACGAGAGCACCATGCGGTACAGCCCAAGCTCAACTTTTCCCTTCCCAAGGAGAGGAGGAGGCAGTGAGGGCTGCTGGGCCCTGGCAGGTGCTGAGCCCCCCAGCCCTTGCTGGCAGAAGCAGGGGCTCTGAGATGCAGGGCAGGCTGGTGAGCTCCCCCCATCCCAGGACACAGCTCCAGGCTCACCAGCGGGGAGAGAAGCTGCCCAGGGAGGCAGTGAGCACTCCCCACCCAACAAATCTCTTTTTCCCTTCCCCCTTCTCCCACCCCCCTAGCTCACCCTTAGGACACAAATACATAAAAAGCCCCGCAGCCCCTGGGATGGCAGCAGGGGGCTCTGCCTGCCCCCTCATCCCCCTGGACAGCAGTGGGGGCTCCTCCAGGCTTCCTGGGGGGGGGGTGTGAAGGCAGGGGAGTGCATGGCTGGATGCCCCCTGGTCCAAGCTGTCCCAGGAACAGTGAGGATGGGGGGGTCTTCGGTGTGGACCTCCCCCCATGGGTGCCAGCCCGGTGCCAGCCTTGGTGTCCCCTTAAGGTGGACAACAGTCACATCAGCCCAGGGGGCTGAGGACCCCTGGCCCAGCCCCAGGAACACCCCTACGGTGGCTATGGAGGGGGGTTGAGGGCTGGTGGTCCGGAGGTGGAGACCTCGGGCTCCACGTCACATAATTTCACAGCAGGAATTCTGCTTTCGGGCCTAAGAAGAAAAGGAAAGCCATCTGTAAAGCTCCCCAAGGGTTTGGGGGTCCCACACAGCCCCTCTCCTGCCGGAGGAGGCCAGCATAGCACAATGACTGATGACCTGGACGCTCCTCTCCTTTTGGCCAGACCTGGTGCCAGGAACTGGGATGGGCATCACCTCCCAGCCATGGCAGGGTGCAGGACACCCCCAGTGAGGGTCAGGGGGGCTCTGCAGCTGGAATTGCAGCACCCAGGCTCTCTCCAAGCCCAAAGCTTCCGGCAACAGGGGTGATTCCTCCCTGGGACCCAGAGCTGTGCCCCAGCATTCATCCATTGTGGGTGACCACCCAAGGATGATGTTCCACCCATCCCCAGCCCCCTCAAGGAGGGGTTGACCCGCCACACCCACCGTTTTGTAGAAGGCTTTGGATTGTGCCCCCAGCACCTCCGATTTAGAGACGAGGTCATCCAGCTTCTCCCCACGCTCCAGCAGCGATTCCATAGTGTTGTGCTGCCAGAGAAACACGTGCTGAGCTCCAGGACCAGCCCCACACCACTCTGTGGCAGGAGATGGAGGTGCCACCCTCCTTCATCCCACCTTCCTACAACCCCCCCAGCTCTGCAGCCCCAAGGGAGAAGATGGGAAGATCATTTTGGCTGGGGACAGGAGCAGCAGAGTTCCCATGGGCTCACCACACATAAAGGAGAGTGGCATTTGAGGAGGGGTCAGAGCCCTGGTGCTTGTATCTGGCCAGCTGGGAAAAGCCCAAGGAGAAAAAATGGAGGAACCGAAATAGGGGAAGAGAAGAAGAAGGTCCCACACCAAGGAGGTCTCCTGGGAATGGCCCGGGGTGAGTCTATCCTGCCCCACAACGTGCCCCCAGGATTGTGCAGGCAGAAGCAGCTGGCTGCAGCCCTGCAGCCTCACCAGGATGATTTTGGTCTCGTCCAGCTCTGCCTGCACTCGGGTCATCGGGTCAGCATCCCGGGGATTCTGGGGAGAAACAACATGGCACTGGCACCAGCACAGGGACACCGGGGTCCCAGCATGGGTCAGTGCTGTCCATCTCCCCTGCCATTGTCAGGGCTGCAGGGAACACCTCTGTCCTGCTGCCCTCCAGGGTCCCAGGGGTCTGTACCTGGTATTTGCTGAGGTATCCATCCAAGGCAGAGTAGCTGATGGTGGCAGGTGACCCTGAGGGCCAGTCCATCCTGCTGACCTGTCTGGAGAACTCATCCAGCACCTGCCAGGTGTGGAAGCAGCAGTTACCATTCAGGAGCCCAGCTGTGGGGCCACAGTGGCTGGAGGGGTTTTGCTCATAAGAACAGGAGATCTGGAGAGTTTTGGGAAGGGACCTTACAGCTCATTCACACCCTGCCATGAGCAGGGACACATTCCGGTACACAGCTCCAAGCCCTGTCCAAACCGGCCTTGAACAATTCCAGGGATGGGCCAGCCACAACTCACAACTTCCTTGGGAAACCTGTGTTAGTCCCCACCACCCTACAGGGAAGGACTTCTTTCCAATATCCCATCTAACCCTGCCCTCTGGCAGTGGGAAGTCATCCCCCCTTGTCCTGTCACTCCAGGCCCCTGTCTTAGGTCCCTCTCCAGTTCTCTTGGAGCTCCTTTAGGTACGGGAAGGGGTTTGGGGTCTCCCTGGAGCCTTCTCTTCTCCAGGCTGGACAACCCAGGTCTCCCAGCTTGTCTCCCTGGCAGTGGCAGGAAAACTGCCAGTGGAGAAGGACATGGAGGTGCTGGTGACAGTGGCTGGACATGAGTCCAGGTAAGCCTAGGTGGCCCCTGGCCTGTACCAGCCATAGTGTGGCCACAGGTCCAGGGCATCCTCTCTGCTGAGGCCCCTTGAGTGCTGTGTCCAGTTCTGGGCCCCTCATGGTAAGAAGGACATTGAGGGGCTGGAGCATGTACAGAGGCAGGGAGCTGGGGAAGGGGCTGGAACCCCAGGAGCATCTGAGGGACCTGGGAAAGGGGCTCAGCCTGAAGGAAAGGAGGCTCAAGGGGGAACTTCTGGCTCCAAACAACTCCCTGACAGGAGGGGACAGCCGGGGGGATCGGGCTCTGCTCCCAGGGAACAGGGACAGGAGGAGAGGGAATGACCTCAAGCTGTGCCATGGGAGGTTCAGGTTGGATATTGAGGAAATTTTGCCATAGAAAGGGTTGTCCACAGGCTGCCCAGGGCAGTGGTGGAATGCCCATCCCTGGAAGCATTCAAAAAAACATGTGAACATGGCACTTGGGGTCATGGTTTAGAGGTGGCCTTGGCCATGCTCGGGGAATGGTTGGATTTGATGGTCTTGGAGTGCTTTTCCAACCAAAACAATTCCACGAGAGGTGCTCCTGCCCTCTGACCACCTTGGTGACCCTCCTCCTCCCCTTCCATCCCTTTTGAATGAGCTGAGGGCAGAGACATGAACAAACAGTCTTGGCAAACAAGGACCAGTGATGCCCAGGCCGAGGTGGCCAGCTCTGACTGTCCAAACGTGCTGCATGTGCCAGGGCAGAGAGACTGGAGGAGCCCCCCGGAGCAGCTCCCAGCATGCACCCTCACCTTGTCCAGCAAGGTGAAACAAACCCGCTGTGGATATTCATTGTCTGCAATCACCACTCCAGCCAGCCCATCATTCCGGACATACACATGGCACAGGTACTCTGGGGAGAAAATTCCTGTCAGAGAGGCAGCAAAGGTCCCGAGCCTTCTCCTGCACCCACCACCCTCCATCCATCCCCCACAGTTTCCCCCCTCCCCCAAACCACCCTGGAAGGTGTCATCAGCACCTGCATTTTCATTACTTCATTAGGAAAGTAGGAAAGACTTAAAATTTGGGGCTCAGCCCCAAATTGTGCTGTGGCAGGGGCTCACAACCATGCCATACAGTGTGGGACATGAAACTGCCATCCCACAGTAGTCAGAGGTAAATAAAAACCAGTGGGAGAAGAGCTCAGCTTGATTTTAACTAACTTTAATTAATCACAAGGCTGGGGTGTCATTAAAGAGGCCCCAGCAGCCAATCTAGGCTGCATCCCACGTGTCCTGCGGCTCGGGAGGCATGTGAAGCAGGACAGGGAGTCTGGAATGAGGTGAGGATTTGGGATATGGAGCCTGGACTTGCATGGCCAAGCTGGCACAGCCACTCTGCAGGGGTTGGGGGGGCTGCAACCCAAGGGGTCCCAAGGGAGCCAGGGAGAGTGCCGATGCTGGAGCAGGTTCCTGCTCCCTGCAGAACCTCTCTTGCACAGGGCTGGGCTCACACCCGGCCCAGCAGCTCCTGCCATCAGCGCTGCTCACCCGGGCACTGCGTTTGGTTTCCCAGGAGTGGGGTCAGGGGAAGTGGCTGCGTGGGTGGGTCTCACCTTGCTCCTTTACCGAGGCCCTGCTGCCCGGCGCTGAGCGCTCCGTGATCAGCTGGCTCGTGAACGTCATGAACTCCTGCACACTGCGGGGACACAGCACCACATCAGGGGACAGCGCTGGGAAAACCAGCCTTGATCCCCCAGGCACCCACTGTGAGTCAAAGTTAAAGAATATCCTTAACTTGCTCTGAGTTTGGAAAACATTCCTGAACCCAGGCTCAGGCCTATCCCTGCTTCATCAGAGAGGGAGCATGGACACCTTCCTCCCAAGCTGAGGGATCTGCTGCCAGCCACAGCTTCCCACCATCATCCCAGGGTTTCATATATATGATGGAAAAAACATTTAAGATCACCGAGTCCAACCATGTGTCAGTTAGATCCCAGTATATATCTTCTTCAAGGACAGCTCTTCCACTGGGAATATTGCTTTTATTTCCCAGTATTCTGGAAGAAACTGCCCACTCAATACTTCACTCTGCCTTCCTGACCCTGCCAAATTCTTGGCAGATGTTCAGCAGACAGGAGGCACTGGCACAGCCCAGCCCCGTGCTCCTGCCCAGCAGGTTCCACAGCTCCCAGGAGCCACAGCCCTCATTATCCCAGATCCAACCCTTCAACCCAGCTCTCTGGGATCTCCAAACTTCAGCTAAACACACCTCTGACATCACACCTGGGCTAAGCTCCTGTAGGCCCCCTGGGAATAAGACTGGGACTAGCATCCTGAGAACAGCCACAAGACTGACATGTACAGACCACCCCCTCTCCAAACTTCACTGCTCCTCCCAAAATCCCAGACTTTCTTTAAGCAGAGACACAGCCTGCTGTGGCAGAAGCCCACAGCATAACCACACAGGGAATTTTCTTGGGATTTGGGAATAGAAGAGCTGCAGCTACAGAGTTTTTGGATTGGAGCTGACGTCACACGCTGGCACTGCTCTGCATCCCACTCACACATTTGGCTAAGAAAGAGCTCTTTAAGATAGTCTTACATCAGTCTCTACCCCTGGAATTACAGAACCAAATGTGCCTGAGGCTCCATAAAACCTTGGAATGGAAATTTTGGGTCCCAGAGGAATTTCTTGACTCCTTTACCATTTGAAGCAGGCGTTGGGAACAACTTACTCCACAGCATGTTCCTGCTTTGTTTTACAGCTTCAGGAGGTTCTCAGAAGCTGCTGAGAGCTCCCTGATCTCTGTGTGCCCAGAGTGGGGAGTGGAACACAGGGAGCCTGAGCATCTGGGGCTCAGTGAGCTCACCTGAAGCCATTGGAATAGCCTGAGCAGGGTTTTGCAGGCTGGGAAGGGCTTCAAATGAGTCCAAACAGTCCAAGGGCACCAGGATCCAGGCGAGTCCTGTGAGCCTGGCACAGACAGGCCTCCCCTTGCCCCGAGAGGGAAGAGCTGACCCCACTCCCAGGGCATTCTCTGTGCCACGATTTCATCGCCTTGGATGCACTGGAGGATTTGTGTAGTCAGCTCTGACCTACTGCTGGCTGAGGCTCCAGGAGTTTCACTCCATTCCTGAGGCTGATCCATCACTCCAAGTGCTGCAGCAGGTCACAGCTCCCCAGGGAGTAGCTCCTGGGTTATTTTCTTTTAGGAAAAGTCTTTCCTGCTGCCACTGCAGCCCCAGTGGGGCAGAAAACCTCCCAAAAGCTTCTGCTTCCCCTCCCCAAGGTCCTGCCTGAGCCACATGCCAGCCTACAGCACACAGGAGCAATTGCCCCCCAGAGGTTCCAGCTGCCTGGTACCCACCTGGATCTCTGAAAGAAGTTGAAAGTGGACACATCATAGGCAGCTTTGAGCAAATGCACTTTTGGGTCACCTTTGTAAAGGACACTTAGGCTGTAGAGCCTCATCGTGGTGGCTCCGTGGGCCTGGGGGAAAGGAAGGGTTGGGGCTGAGGCCATGGCAGGGCTAGGACACCCTCGGACCCTCCCCTGTGCCTGGGGCTCCCCCCAAATCCTCCTTCTGTCCTTTAAATGCTATCCCAGTCAGCCAGAAACCCCTGCCCCCGGAGCCCCGCTTGACTCCTCATCCCGGCCCCAGCCCAGCCTAACCAACCCCTGCCCTCAGCTGTCCCAGTATAACCCAGTAGAACCCAGCTCCTCCACCCAGTGTAACGCAGACACTCCTCAGTACAGCCCACCCACTACAGCCCAGCCCTCGGCCCCGAGTAAGTGCAGCCAGCCCGGTCCCGCCTTCTCTCGTACAGCCTAGTTCCCCCGTAACGACCCGGTACAGCCCACAGACCCCGGTACAGCCCACAGACCCCGGTACAGCCCACAGCCGCCCCGTACAGCCCCCAAAACCCCGGTACAGCCCACAGACCCCGGTACAGCCCACAGCCCCCCGGTACAGCCCACAGACCCCCGGTACAGCCCACAGACCCCGGTACAGCCCACAGACCCCCGGTACCGATGCTGCGGTCGCGGCTCAACGCGGGCGGCGGCCGACGGGGCGATGGCCACAACCCGGAAGTGGAACACAGCGGCCGGAAGTGCCCCGGTGGCGAATGCTGCCACGGGACTCCTGCTGCCCTGCGCACGCGCCAATCTGGCCCCGCCCCTTCAGCATTCTGACCAATCACCGCCAGCCTCCTCTCGCTCCGGTGTCAGCCGGACAACCAATCAGCGCAGCACTTGGAGCCGTAAGGCGGTCCCCGTTCCTCAGGGCGGCCAGCAGGGGGCGCAGTGCCCGCCCGGCGGGGCCTGTGGGGCCCCCTCGCTGTGGGGTGGGACCCCTGTGTGGGGTGGGACCCCTGTGTGTGTGGGGTGGGACCCCTGTGTGTGGGGGGTGGCCCCTGTGTGCGGGGTGGGACCCCTTTGTGTGTGGGGTGGGACCCCTCTGTGTGTGGGGTGGGACCCCTGTGTGTGTGGGGTGGGACCCCTGTGCGGGGTGGGACCCCTTTGTGTGTGGGGTGGGACCCCTCTGTGTGTGGGGTGGGACCCCTGTGTGTGGGGTGGGACCCCTGTGTGTGTGGGGTGGGACCCCTCTGTGTGTGGGGTGGGACCCCTCTGTGTGTGGGGTGGGACCCCTGTGGGGGTGGTCTCCCCTGTGTGGGGGGCGCCTCGCCCTGTGGTGTGGTGACCTCTCTGAGAAGGGGTCCCAAGGGGGGAACAGCCTCCCCTGGGTGCTGGGGACGCCCTGAGGAGTGGGAACCCTTCCACGAGGTGGTTCTACCCCTGGGTGGGGACCCCTCCGTGGTGGGGATGTACTGACGACAGGTGGGTGAACCATCCGAGGGTTTCGGACCCCTCTGAAGTGTGGGGACCCCTCTTTGGGCGGGCCCCAGCACAGGGGCAGGGCTGCCAGAGCCTTGCTGTGCCCCCAGGTGTGCAGGGGGCAGGTGAGGTTCTGTGACACGGTGACCCTGTATCTGCTAGGGTCTGCTCTGCCACCCACAAACCCTCTGCCCTCCTCTGAGCCCCCGCAGTCCCCCAGGGGCTGTCACCCCCGACACCCATCCAGGCTTCCTAGGGATCTTCCTCAGCTCTGTGTCTGAGGGGATGCTGCCAGAGACCAACACCAGGAGGTTTTGGGATCTACCCGTGACCAAGGGTGCTCCTCATGCCATTTGGACCTTCATATTCCCCTGTTTCCACAACACTGGCTGGATGACGTGGCTCCAGGGGTAATGGGGGTTGCCACATCCCCATCCTCAAATCCAGCGCCCGTCCCCAATCCGTTGCTGGTCAATCCCAGCACCACTGGATCCTTTCCCACCCTGGGGGCTCGGAGCCCTTCCCCATCGCCCTCGCCCCTCTGCGGGTGTCTGTAGGCCGTGCTGTGTCCGCAGTCTCCATGGGAGCACGCTGGTTGCCAAGCTGGCCGGTGGAGTGCTTGCCACCACCATCGAGCCGTTGGTATGACAACGGGGACACGGGTGACCCGGGGCGTGGTGCTTCGTGTGACGGGGCCAGCGGCCCCTGCAGGGAGGGTCCTGGCCAAGCCTCGCCAACACGCCAGGGGGGTCTCCACGGGCTGCCAGAACCCACCGCGCTGGGCTAGGACCCCTGCGCCAGCACCGGCCCGGGAATTTATTGACACATTAAGGAAGCAAGCAGGAGACTGTGAGCAGAACCCCTCCGGAGCAAAGGATGTGGGGCGACAGGGCTGATCTCACCAGGGCCCCGGGCCCCGCTCCCTGCCCCTCCGCTTGAGGCCTGGAGGAACCGGGACTCCCTCACTGGGTGCTGGACTGGGGTAACAGATGAGATAACGCAGCGCAGCAAAAGTGGAGCATCCGCGTGTGGAGCGAGGAACGGAGCAAGGGACGGAGCAGCCTGGTGCCTTCTGGACAACCTCCAGGACAGGGCAGGGGGCTCCCCCAGGCCAGGCACCACGGTGGGGACACAGGGGCTGAGGGGGGCACGGCTTGGCCCGCAGCCCACCCCACCCCACCACCTGCCCCCATGCTGGATCACCGAGCCAGGATGGAGAGCAGCAGGAAGGAGAAGGTGAGACTGCTGCCAAGGCAATGCTGGGGGGCCGGGGGGGCCAGGGGGTGCCCAGTGGATGTGAGGAAGAGTGCGGATCCTCACCAGGGTTCCAGCCTTCCCTGGAGCGAGTAGCCAGGTGCTCCCAGCATCTCCCAAGGTTAGAGCAGAGGTAGCCCAGAGGACGGCTGGTGGGGAGGACACCAGCTTCTGAGCAGCCTGGGGGCAGCCCAGCATGCCCCAGGGAGGTCCCCATCCCTGAGGTCACGCCCCAGCACAGCACAGGCCCTACTGAGGTCAGCACTGAGGTCTCATGATGGAGCATTTGTGGGACATTCTGCTGGGCTGGGATACTCCCACCATCCAAACATCGCCCCGGGCATCTTGCAGCTACACAGCTGCATCCCCAGGATGAGACAGGGCCTGTCACCTCCTTCAGCTGGCTGTTATCACTGTCACTGAGGCACCCAGCAGGATGGCACGTGGCTCATCCCCAGTCAAAAAACAGTTGTTTGTGGGAAGCATCCTCTCCCAGATGGATGGAGCTCATGGGGTCATAGGCGAGGACAGTGGAGACATTCCCTGCTGCCTGTACCGAGGGGACACTGGGGACGCGGCACATGCGGGACCAGCAGAGATGGGTATCACTGGCCACTGCAGCCAGCAGCCATGTGGTTCCCAGCTCCATCCCATTTGTGGGATGCATTGGAGTATGCCATTTCCATGAGAAGCTGAGAGCCAGATAACGTCACGTGGGAAGACCCAAATCCTGCCAGGGAAGGGCCAAACCCATTGTTTTGAAGGCAAGCGAAGAGATGAGTAGGGACATGTGGTGCCGAGATGGAAAAAACATTGCAGAAATAAAATTCGGACTCCCAGGTGCCAGCCTTGGGATGGGGATCCTCCGGCTGTGGCAGATCTGGTGCTCCCATGCCAAGCGGTGCCGTGGGATGGATTAACACTGAATGCCTTCAGCCAACAACCCAGGAGAGATGATCAAATCCAGCTCCATGCTTTTTCTGGCAGGATTTTTCCAATCATTCTGGGCCAAACATCCTCTGGATCAGGGCAAACCTCACCACAATGTTGTTGTAGGTGCCCAGCCCCATGCCAGGGGGCTCTGTGCTTCAGCATGGCATTGGGGGCCAGGTGATGTGCCAGGATGGAAGGCAGCTGGACTGAGCCATGGCAAGGGGTGCCCTCAGTGTTGGGATGCTCCAAACCACACCCCAAAAGCTTTACTGAGCCCCCTACCCCAAAACCTGTCAGGAAACAGCATCAGCCTCGAGGCAAACATCAGTGTGCTGGCAAGAGCATTGGAGCCTACCTGGAGCCCGGTGACTAATGAGCCCTAATGCTGCCGACTGCAGCTGGCAGAGGAGTGCTGGCTCCAGCTCCATCTGACAGCCGAGGCACCTGGCCCCAGCCCTGCCGGCTAATGGAGGCTGCGCCAAGCCTGGGGTTGCTACGGAAAGGATAAACACAGATCCTGCTTGCCAGGTGCTTCCCTGGAGTGGGCCCTGTGGCTTTCCCTGGCAGCGAGACAAGGCAGCAATCCCCGAGAATATTCCCACCTGCTTGCCCTCTGCCCCATATTAGCCCCACATTTGATGGGTGAAAAATGGTACCCACGATTCCCAGTGGGATATAGGGAGAGGGATGCTCCTGGGAAATAAGGAAGATACACCAGCATATTCATAATAAAAGAATCCCTTGATAAAAGAATCTCATCATAAAAGGATATCCTTGTGCTCCTCAATGGCATGACCAGAAGCACTCCTTGCTGGGAATGACCCTGGGATTCATCAGGATGGGATGTCCCAGGTCACCATTGGAGTGATGCTGGCTTCTACACAACCATCCAAAAACTTCAGCTGGGTGACAGGGATGGCAGAACCCCAGTGCCAGCCCCGCTACTAAGGGACCCCAGAGCTGACTGTGGCATCCTGCAGGCAGCACCAAAGGGGACTTGGTGCCTTATGATGGTCCTATAGATTCCCTGGTGCCTCTGTTTAGTGGGAGGACAAAATCAGAGCAATAGGATAAGTCATTTCAGTGTGTCCATGTGCTGATGGGGAAAACCAGGGCTGGTAGAAGGGAAACTTGGGTATTTCTTGCAGTTCAGGCCCCTTGCATCCAGTATCCCTAGTCCCTGGCTGATGCTGTGTGGTGTGCAGGTGGAGCAGATCCTGTCAGAGTTCCATCTGAAGGAGGAGGACCTGAAGAAGGTGATGTACCGGATGCAGAAGGAGATGGACCGAGGGCTCAAACTGGAGACACATGAGGAAGCCTCTGTCAAAATGCTGCCCACCTATGTCCGTTCCACCCCTGAGGGCTCCGGTACGGTGTCACTCCCTGTCCCTTGTGTGTCACCCCTTCCTCTGACCCCATCAAGCTCCATGTGGAAGGCTGAGCCTACCAAGAGCCCATCACCTTCTCCCCCTCTCCCTGGCTTTGCAGAGGTGGGAGATTTCCTGTCACTGGACCTGGGTGGCACCAATTTCCGTGTGATGCTGGTGAAGGTGGGCGAGGGGGAGGAGGGGCAGTGGAAGGTGAAGACGAAGCACCAGATGTATTCCATCCCAGAGGATGCCATGACCGGGACGGCAGAGATGGTCAGTTGCAGCACACGGGGCATCCCATCCTGCCCCAGCCCCTTTCATTGTGTATGTTTCAGTGGGACACTGGAGGGGACACCCCCATCCATCCAGCCAGCAGAAGCTGGGGGGTGGCCAGGCCTGGGGAGCCCATGGCGGGGGACAGCATCTGTCCAAGAGCAATGGGAGGGTGGGGACATCCCTTGGGAAAGGCTGGACCCCCTGTCTTCCAGCTTTTTGACTACATCTCCGAGTGCATCTCTGATTTCCTGGACAAGCACCAGATGAAGCACAAAAAGCTGCCCCTGGGCTTCACCTTCTCCTTCCCTGTGCGGCACGAGGACATCGACAAGGTGAGGGGGTGGCCAGGCAGCATGAGGCCTTGGGGGTTCCCACACCTCACCTACAACCACAGACCCATTTCTGTCTGAACCCCGTTCCAGGGCATCCTCCTGAACTGGACCAAGGGCTTCAAAGCCTCCGGCGCGGAAGGGAACAACGTGGTGGGGCTGCTGAGGGACGCCATCAAACGGCGAGGGGTGAGAGGATCAGACGGCCGTGCTGGTACCGCCATGGTTTGGAGACCCCAGCACTCCCGGCTGTCCCTGTGATGGGCTCACTGAAGCCTGGCTGTGCCTGCAACAGGGCCACTGGAGCCTGGTGTGTCCCCAGGAAGGGATCACTGGAGCATAGTTGTCCCCACAATGGGGCTGCTGGAGCCAAGTGTGTCTCTGGGCAGGGCTGTTCCATGTGTGTGCGCACATGTTGCATGACACATGCCCAGGTCCTCACCTTTGGGGACCATCCACTCCAAACCTGCCTGTTGTGGGACAGCCTGACCCCCCATAAGCCCACAATGGTCCCTGTCCCCAGGACTTCGAGATGGATGTGGTGGCAATGGTGAATGACACAGTGGCCACGATGATCTCCTGCTACTACGAAGATCACCGGTGCGAGGTTGGGATGATTGTGGGTAAGATGCCCCTTCTACAGGGACATGTGGCTGGGGACAGGGAATTGTCCCATGGGCCTGCTCCCCTGCTGCCTCCCCTGTCCTTTTGGGGAGACACACTAAGGACATGGGGTGGCAGTGGCACTCTGCTGAGGTGTCCAGTGGTTGGGACATCAAATGGCATCGCCTGGCCCCAACACAGTGGTTGGGGCACTTTGGGAGTAGAAAAGGGGTGGTCACCATAATAGGACAGGTCCCCACAGGACTGCCCTGCCCTCAGGCTGTAGGTGGCTCTAGCACCTCATCATAGGGACCCACAGAAGGTGGTGGGAATGAGTTTGAAGCCTGCTGGCTCCATCCCCTGATCCCCGCAGAGAGCAGCCCCCCACCTCCCCCAGCCCCTCACTATCTTTAGTGCCATCAGGCACGTGCCAACATGCCATCTGGGCTCTGTGTCCCCTCACCTGGGTAAACACATGTTGGGATGTTTATCTTGGGGCTTATTATCTTATTGTTATTCTTGGGGCTGGCACAGTGCTCAGAGCCCCCTGGAGCCTGCCATGGGGACAAGTGGCCAGCCAGGGCTGTGGGGACACTGATGGGGTGGGGAGCAGGAGGGATGTCCATCCCCATCACTGCAGGACAAGGATGTGCAGCTCCAAGCACAGCCTTCAGTCATGATCTCAGTAACTGAATCCTGGTGCTCATGCAGTAGCAGGCACTGGCTGTTCAGTCAGTTCTTTTACTCTGAAACAAAGTTTAGCATGGAATCATGTTTGAGTTGGAAAAGCCTCTAAGGTCATCAAGTCCAACCAATCCCCCAGCACTGTCAAGACCACCACTAACCTATGTCCTCAGGTGCCACATCCACATGGCAGTTGAGCCCACCAGGGGTGGTGTCTTCACCACTGTCCTGGCAGCCTATGCCAGGGCTGAACAGCCCTATCCATGAAGGAATTTTTCCAATATCCAACGGAAACATCCCCTGGTGCAACTTGGGACTGTTTCCATTATATCCTTGGAGCAACCTGGTCTAGTTGAAGATGTCTCTGCCCTGGGCAGGGTGGTGGAATGAGATGAATTTTAAGGTCCCTTCGAACTCAAACCATTCCATGATTCTATGATTTGATGATTCTATTGCATCCCAATGCTGGGTGGAGCAGGGATACAGATTTGGGACCTATGTAGTAAGTTCCTAACCATCCTTGCTTCCAGCTTTCATGAAATCACAGAATGGTTTGGGTTGTAAAGGACCTTAAGGATTACCCAGATCCATGCCATGGGCAGGGATAGCTCCACTAGACAAGGCTGTCCAGCCTGGCTTGTAACACTTCCAGGGATGGAGCAGCCATAGCTTCTCTGGGAAACCTGTGTGGGAAACCTACCACCCTCACAGGGAAGGATTTCTTCCCAGTATCCAGTCTAATCTCCTCTCTTTTAGTCTAAAATCTTTCCCCCATGTCCTGGAGCCACCCTTGAAGTAGTTGTATACCATGGTGCCAGTCACCAGGTTGAGGAATGTCCCTCAGGCTCCATGTGGGTCCCAACCCCTGCCCTGGCACTTTTGGACCCCCTCCAGTTCTTCCCCATTGCTCCACAATACTGTCCCAGCTTTATCCCAGTTGGGATGGGAGGGCTATGGTGGGGGGGTGTGACTGCTGCCCCTCCCTCCCCACCGCCCAGGGACGGGCTGTAATGCCTGCTACATGGAGGAGATGCACAACGTGGAGCTGGTGGAGGGCGACGAGGGGCGGATGTGTGTGAACACGGAGTGGGGAGCCTTTGGTGCCTCTGGGGAGCTGGACGAGTTCCTCCTGGAGTACGACCGCGTGGTGGACGAGACCTCACTTAACCCCGGTCAGCAACTGTAAGGAATAGGAGAGATCCAGTTCCTCTGGGCATCCCTCCCATCCCCTGCACCATGCTGGGCTCAGCCCCCAGCACAGGCATCCTTCACCCTGGGCCATGCCCATGTGCGGGAACACATCCAGCAAGGAGGGAGGGAAGGAAAGAGGAGGTGCTGTGGGAAGTGGCCCCTCAAATCCCAGCTCTGATGCCGCCCCCTCGCCTATGTCCCTCCCCACCAGGTACGAGAAGATCATTGGAGGGAAGTACATGGGGGAAATCGTGCGGCTGGTGCTGTTGAAGCTGGTGGATGAGAACCTGCTTTTCAATGGGGAGGCCTCTGAGAAGCTCAAGACTCGTGGGACTTTTGAGACCCGCTTCATGTCCCAGATTGAGAGGTATGAGGTTGGGGTGTGGCACCCCCAAACCAGCCTGCCAGGCTGCATCGCACTGGGAGGTCTGTGCTCTCACTCCACACTGGTCCAGGCATACTGAGGAGCTTGTGCTCCTGCTCTGCACTGGCCTGTCCCACATTGGGATCCCCGTATTCCATCATCCCATACCAGTCTGCTATGACTGCCTCATTTTGGGGTCCTTTATCCTGTTACTCCACACCAGCCTACTCTGACTGTCCATCTTGGAGTCCCTGCATCCTGCCACCCAAACCACAGTGTCCCATGTCATGGACCCATCATGATGAGACATCATGATCCCATCATTCCGTACCTGCCTGCTCTGTCCCAAATTGGGGTCCCTATGTCCCATCATCCCACCTTAGGGGGGCCCACTTCCAGGTCCCTCTGTCCCATCACCCCACATCAGCCCTCCACAGTAGCCCCCTGTTGGGGTCCCCCATCCCATCATCCCACGCCAACCTGCTCTGACTGACCCAGCTGGGGTTCCCCATCCTGTGACCCCATACAACTGTCCCATGTGAGGATCCCCAATCCCATCACTCCCCCATCCCTCTCCAGCTGTCTCACCCAGGGTCCCCACCCTTCAGCCTTTGCTGACCCCCTCTTCGCTCCCTACCCCAGTGATTCTGATGACCGCAAGCAGATCTACAACATCTTGTCAGCCTTTGAGCTGCTGCCATCTCGGACAGACTGTGAGATCGTGCGCCGGGTGTGTGAGAGCGTGTCCACACGGGCTGCCCAGATGTGTTCGGCCGGGCTGGCCGGCGTCATCAACCGCATGCGGGAGAGCCGCAGCCAGGACACCCTCAAGATCACTGTTGGTGTTGATGGCTCCGTCTACAAGCTCCATCCCAGGTGGGGATCCCCAGACCCCAATGACATTTCTATCCTCTCCCTTCATCCTCAAAGCCTTGACCCCATTTGTGACCCTGTGTTCCTACTCCCCAGCTTCAAGGACCACTTCCATGCCACAGTGCGGCAGCTGACGCCTGGCTGTGACATCACGTTCATCCAGTCAGAGGAAGGCAGTGGGCGCGGGGCCGCTCTCATCTCAGCCGTGGCCTGCAAGATGGCCTGCATGATGGGGCAGTGAGCTGGACTCAGAGGGGGGACGGCAGGGGCTGGTGGTCCTGCTCGGAGCGCTGTGGGAGCAGACATGGACGCGGGAAGGAGGCAGCTCCGGCCCCCCAATAAATGGGGTGTGTGTGGACTTCTCTGGGGCCCCTTGGGCCAGTCCTCCTTGTGCCTCTCTCCCCATGCTGGTAGAGAGACGTACCCAAATGGGTATGGGGCAGCCAAGGAGCTTCCCATGCCCTCACCCCCTCCCCATCCTCAACCAGCTGCAGCAAGGAGGGCTCCAGCGCACCCCAGAACCTTTGCTGGGGGAAAGACCCCCCAAGGGGGTTGGCCTAGAGATAAGGGGCTTTTTGGGGGGTACTTTGAGTGGGATGTCAGGGTAGAGGAGCTCCCCACCAGTGATCCCTGAGGTGCAGAGACTGACCAGAGTGCACTAGAACTAGACCAGATGGAGGTGGGTATACTGGGGGTACACATGCCCCTCCAGCCATGTCCTCACACATGTTCCCTGAAAGGTCTGGGGCTTCCCAGAGATTTAAGTTCACCAGAGTGTCTGGACCAGAGTATTAGGGTCCCTCTGTGGGTCACGGGCACTCCAGGGTGTTTGGGATTCCTCTAAGGATCTGGCAATACTGGAGCATATTGTGGTTCCCTGAAGGCTCTGGAAGCACCCCAGGGTGGAGGGGTCCTCCTGGGACACCACAGGGTGTTGGGGTCCCTTTGGAGGTTTGGGGCACTCCAGGGTCTGGGGCACACTCAGGGTGGGGTCAACCCTGGGGGTGTGGGGCTGCCCCATGATATGGGCCATCCTGGTGGTCCAGGGTTATATCTGTGATATTTGGGGCCACTGCAGGGGTCTAGGGTCACCCTGGGACATGGGGGCACTGAGCATGTAGGGACATCTCAGGGTGCTCGGGTAACTCTTGGGCATCTTGGACCACCTGAGTGGACAGGATCACCACAGGATGTGGGCCCAACCTGGGAGGCTGGGACTGCTGTAGGGTCTTGGTGTCCTCACAAAGCGCAGGGTCACCCCATGGCTGGGGAGTGCACATTAAGGGGCTTGGGACACAGGTGTCTGTGTCACCTGAAGGGACAAAGCCACCCAGTGGTGCTGCTCCTGAAGCCCCAGATCCATGGGTGGCAGTGGGATCCCCACAGCTCATTGCAGGAGGGGAAGGGGATCCCTCTGTTTGCTTGGCTGCAGCCCTCAGCCAGCAGGATTCCCTCTGTTTTGATTGGTTTGCATCAAAAAAATATCCTTGAGTTCTAATTGATGGCAGCCCTCAGAGACCTGCAGTCTCTCTGTTCCGATTGGCCAGGGGCAAACAGAAGAGATTCCCTGCACTCAAATTGGCTGGAAATAAAGAAAAAGGGGTGTGGGATTCCCTGTGCTCTGACTGGCTGGGACTGAAGAAGGGATTCCCTGTGCTCAGCTGGGACAGTGCCAATGCCGTGTGTTGGGGACACTGAGAATGATCCCAAGCCCATGGCAGTGCTGGTGACAAGTGGGTGACAAGTGTCAGTGCCAAGTGCAGGGACAGATGCAGTGCCAGGCATGGGGACACATGCTGGTGCATAGTGAGGGGACAGTGACAGCCAGGACCACCCAGGTGTGAGGAGGGAACCGCTCACTCCAGCCCCCATGGGACACATCCCCACACTAGCGCCGGCATCTTTTGTGTCACCTTGGCCCTTGGGGCAAGCCAGGGCCACACTGTCCCCTGCTAGTGCCTGGTGCCATACACCCTAGTCACCGTGTACCCCCAGGGCAGACAAACAAGACCCGTGGAGCCAGAGAAGGGACTTTATTGTGGTGGAGAGAGATGGCTGGGCTGCGGGGGCATCAGGGACTGGAGGAGCATCGGGGTTTGGGGGGCACTTGGGGCTGTGCCTGTGGAGAAAGGAAAGAACAGGGGGTGAGTCGGGGGCCAGCAGAAGCAGCTTCTCTAGCCTTCCCCCTGCTCCACAACGCACTTTGGGGTGACCTGGTTCACCTCCACCCTACAAGGCTGCAGCAGGGAAGGCTCAGAAACCCCAAGCACACTCCCACCCCTCCGGCAGGTGTGGGGTGCAGGATGTGGGGTGCAAAGTGTGGGACGCAGAGCAGGGATATGGGATCAGCATGCAGGGTTCAGGACACACTGCAGGACTGGGACATGGAGTGCAGGACATTTGTTGCAGCATCAGGATATGGGTGCAGGATGTGGGTTCAGGACCAGGTTGTAGGGTGCAGGACAGGGGGTGTGGGATTGCGATGCAGGGTGCAGGGCACGGTGCAGGATGCGGGATGTAGGTTGGGATATGGGGTGCAGGACACAGGGTATATAGGGTATGGGATCAGGATGCAGGATGTGGGATGCAAGACACAGGATGCAGAGTGCAGGATCAGGCCATGGGATGTAGTATCAGGATACAGGTGGGCACTGACCGTGCTCAGGACCGGCAGACGCCCATGGCAGTGCAGATGTCCCGGGGCATGTCCCCGTTCTGCAGCCCCTCAGTGATCTGCTCCTTGTACTTGTTCACCAGCCGCTGGCACAGCCTGCCCATGGCCCGGCCCAGCACCCGGCAGCCCTTCTGCAGTGCTGCTGCCACTGCTTCCTGCCAAAGCCACTGCAGGTTAGGGGCCACAGGGAGTGGGCTCCTGGCCCAGCCCCCCAGACCCTCATCTCCCCTCACCTGGTCGGGGTCGTCACCTGCTAGAGTCTTTATCTTCTTCAGGGCCTTGGTGCACAGGCTGCACTTAATCCCCCTGCCCTGCGCCACAGCATCCCCATCAGTCATGTTGTCCCCTTCAGCCACGTTCCCCTGTAGGGACACAAAAGACCTTCAGGGCTGCCTGGACTCCTGGGTGGCCCTGGCAGTACTTGGGGGTGGGGCACTCACCAGGCTGTCCCAGAGGTGCTGGCACGGCTGCTCCCAGCCACAGTGTGTGACCATGGCCATGTCCCAGCACCAGGACATTGGGTCACCCTGGCAGGGCAGGGGAGGTGTGGCCTGTGTTGCTGCATGGGGACAGGACAGTGAGCATGGCTGCAGGTTGGGTGCCCATCATAGGGGCCGTGGAGGTGCCCAGACCCCTAAACCACCAGTCCCAGGTATTCAGCCCCATCCCCACCATCCCTCCTGCCCTCACATCCTTCTGTGAGGACCCCATCCATGCCACCCCCAGGCACTTGTTCTCGTAAGACACCATCCCAGCAACTCCCAAGCCCTCACCATCCATCTGGCCTGTCCCCTTGTCCTCCTTCTCACATCCCTAAGTGCCTGTCACTACACAGACCCCATCCCTGTCACACACAGGTCCCCACACAGACCCCAGCCCCCCAAGCTCAATCATCCAGGCTGCCATCCCCACTGTCCCCACGTGTCTTCCTCTCTCCTCCACCTCGGTGTGACCATCGCCCCTGGGAGGCAGGAGGGTCCCCATTACCTCCCAGCAGCAGCAGCAGCAGGAAGAAGGTGGCAGCCATGGTGAGCACACTGAGCCGGTGACAGCAGGTGACTGACAGGGGGTGACTGCCCTGACACCTTTTATAGCGAGGCCGCGGGCTGTGGGGGTGGGGGACCAAAACCCCAAAACTCCTTAAAACAGAACGTGCTGCTCCCCAGAGCCCTTCCTGCCTCACACCTCCACCCCCGCAGGAAGGGGACCCCGAGGCCCTCGGGGCGGATATGGGGGAGCTCAGCAGCCCCCAGCCTCCTCAGCCTCGTCCCCTCAGGGAAGCTGCCCGTAAGTCCCCCAAAGTGTGGGGCAGGGAGGGAGTGGCCAGACTGTCCACTGGCCCTAGGGCTCCGGAGGGTCTATCCCGAGATGGGTGAGGTCTATCCCGGGGTCCTCTTTGGACCCCTCAGGGCTCTGGGGAGTCCAAGGGCTTGGGCTTAGTGTCCCCCCGGGGTGAGTCCTGGTGCCCTCTCTGGGGTCGGTCATGATGTCCCCCAGGGTTTGGTCACTGTCTTCCCTTCATCCCATGGGTTCGGTGTGGCTCCGGGGTCGATCCCGACATCTCGCCGTCCCCTCCATGTCCCCCGGTGCGGGACTCTCGCACCGCCCGCTCCACAGCGGTTGCCGCGGTGACCCGAACGTCACTTCCGCCGCTCGGCACACAACTTCCGGCTTTGCAGCGTTCGCGCCTTTTCCCGCCTCAGCCCCACCCTCATGGCGAGTGCCGGTGTCAGCGGCGACCCTCGACCTCTGACCCCTCAGGCCGTACGTGACCTGCGGGAACCCCGAGCGGCGGCCGAGGGCTTGTCCCCGTTTGGGAGCGGGGGAGATCCCGGTTGAGGGGGCTGGGGGGACCCTGTGATGTCCTGCAGCCTGAAGGGGGCTGGGGTTGGGGGGGCTGTTGTGTCTTCGGGGGTTCCCCGGTGCCAGGGAGGTGTTTGGGGGCCCAGTGCCGGGGGGAGGAGGATTGTGCCAGAGGGAGGCACTGGTACCTGGGGATGTCAGGGTGCTATGCGGGTCCTGATTTGGGAGAGGGGTTCTGGGAGGATCCGGTGTCCAAGGTGTATTTTGTGGGGACTTCAGGTGTCCTATTCTGTGGGAGGGGATTTTAGGAGAGGTTGGTCTGGTGCAGTCACCAGGCTGAGTTTGGGGATGCCCTGGGTTTCGAGGAGAAAGGGAGGAACGGGGGCTGAGGGGATGCAGTGTGCAGAAGGAGGGTCAGACCCAGACATGGTTTGTATTTTGGGGGTGGGGAAGATTTTCAGGGGGACTTGTGTCTTGGGATGACAGTGATGGCCAGGTGGGAGCTAGGGTCCTTAATTCACCAATTTATTTTCCAGATCCTTCGTTAGACCCCCATGTCCCACACCATGTTTTCAGAGCAGGCAGCCCCCACGGCGCAGGGGCTGCTGGCCCCCCCCTCGGCCGAGCCCCCCACCTTCCCCCGGGTGCCTGTGTCAGGCTATTCAGACTGCTCACAGCCCTTCCAGCTGGGCGAGCGCAGCTTCTCCCGGCAGTACGCCCATATCTACGCCGTGCGCCTCGCCGGGATGCGGCCGGGCCTGGAGCAGCGTGCACGGAGCCGATGGGGTGAGCCTGGGGGGAACACTCTGTTTGTCAGAGTTCTTCCCCAGGAAAAACACTGAGGGGCTGGAGTGTGTCCAGGGGTAGGGACAAAGCTGGGGAATGGGCTGGAGCACCAGGAGTGGCTGGGGGGGCTCAGGCTGGAGAGAAGGAGGTTTAGAGGGGACCTTCTGGCACGCCACAATTTCCTGGCAGGAGGGTGCAGCCAGCAGGGGGTCAGGCTCTGCTCCAGGGAAGCAAGGGATAGGACAAGAGGACACAACCTCAAGTTGCACCAGGAGAGGTTCAGATTGGATATTGGGAAAATTCCTTCATGGAAAGGGCACAGACTGCCCAGGGCAGTGCTAGAGTCCCCATCCCTGTGGGGAAATAACAGTTGTGTGGATGTGGCACTTGGGAACATAGGTTAGTGGTGGCCTTGGCAACAAACATCTGTGGAGCTGCCTTTAGATTTTATATCCATGTTTGACCAGATACATATCTGGGGTCCAGAAGTGAGTTAGTGTTCTCGTTCTCAGGCTGGATGTAATGTACCCTGCAGGCATCCCTGCGGTCAAGATCCATCCTTGTTGGGGGGCAGTCCATCCCTGCCAGGCTGGGATCCACCCACAACCTTCCTGCAACCTGATCAGCTCCAGTGTAGCCACTTCTGCCAGTCTCCAGTAACATTTTACACCCTTGACTGGATGTGCAGCACAGCCCAGCTGAAGCAGCTTAGCCCCCCAGCTCTGGGATGCACAGCAATGGTGGGATAATCCATTTGCAGCTGGATTATGTGGTAATCCTGCTGCAGCTCCCACCTGGAGTTCTGACCTTGGGACATACTGCATTCCCCATCACAGATAGAAGGGGGGGTGTGGGCAGGGAGAACACAATTGTCACATCGCCCCACACACTTTTAGGAGCAGGAGTTGAGTGTGAGATTTGTCAGGGTGGGGCTAGGGAAAGGAGGATAGTAGAAAGAAGTGGGGTACAGGAGGGTGCAGGGGTGTGAGAGGTGCTGGGGGGGTTGTTTCCTGGCCAGGGGGGTTGTGGTTCTGTGGGTGGGACACTCAGAGTTTCCATCCGCAGCATGAAGCAATGCTGGTGCTGCTGAGGCTCTGCCCCCCCAGCCTGGGCACAGCCTGCGATCGAATTTCCTTTGGCTTTGCCCTTCTATGGGCAAAAACCCCTTCAGTGGAAGCTTTTGGGCTGGACGCCTGTTCTTGTGCTCTTCCCAGCCCCGTGGGCTGTGTGGAAGCAAAGCCAGTGCTGGTCCCGCGGCAGATGTCATTCCGTGGTTGTCCACCCTGAACTTTGCCAAGTGTGACAGGACCCAGTGGTTTGTAAAGCTCCACCTCCTGGAGTCCTGGGATGGGACCAGATTTAGGGGTTTGTCTCCCAGCAGGAAGCGCCTGAAGGCAAAAATCTGAAGAGCACAGCCCCCTCCCCCCCGAACACACATTTTGGGGAGTTTGAGCCAAAAATAAGAAACTTCAACAGGATTGTTTTTGTTCTGACTCATAGTGTTTGCATTCCTGAGCTCGGGAATCCATGTTTCCAGTGTGGGATGCCAGGGATGGCAGTGGGGTGCTCTCCTTGAGACAAGAGTTGTGTTCAGCAGCACATGATGAGCAAAGTGAGATTTTTGGGAGGAGAAATGTCACCCAGAAAGGACGAGGAGCTGGCACAGGCAGTGTTGTTTTGGGAGAGGAGACCAGGAGCAGGTTCCTTACTCTTCTCTGGCGTCTGAGGCTCAGGATGGACTTAACAGGCTGGTTTGAATGGGGAATGACAATCTCACAGCCACATTTGGGATGTGAAGATGCACACTGAATGGGGCTGGAGCACCTCTGGGTCCCCAGGGTTGTGGGGTAAGAAGTTTTTGGCTCACCTTGTGGTGAGGGAGACTTTTGCTTCTCAGCTACAAAGTGAATGCAGCTGGGGCTGTGATGCTTTTTTCAGCTCCTGAGGTTCTCCCAGCCTGTATCCCCTGTGGATCCTTGCCTAAAGCCCAGGGACCTGTCAGCATGTCAGGATCTTCTCTGAATGTAATGGGGATCCCGAATTCCACAGGGATCTGGGGCAGAGGATCTGGCCCTGGCAGAGGTCAGGTTTGGAGGTGTTGAGTGATCTGTCAGCTCTGAGTAGGATGTTTGGGCCATCCCCGGGGTGAAGAGCAGGAACAGCAGCCCCCCATGCCCAAGGGCAGGAACATTGCATCCTGGACCCTTCCTGGGCAGAGCTGTTACTGGGAGCTAAACACACCACCATGACCCAGCTTTCCCCCCAGCACAAAGGAAATGCCTGAAGGCTTGCAGGCTCTGGAATGCTCCTTGGCCCCATCTGGCCCACACATGTCTGTTCGGCACTGTGCCTCAAGGAAAAGCAGGAGGCTTCCCAACATTCCCCACCGCCTCTTGCCGGCCTCAACACTGGGGCCCTTCAGCTGCTCCCACCAGCCCTGCACTGTGCCCGCCACCACCCCGAGGCCACTGACCCACGTCTCTCCACAGGGAATGACATTGTGCTGCGGAAGCTCTCAGAGCTGCAGGCAGGAGAGAAGTGCTGCGTGGTGGGGACGCTCTTCAAGGCCATGGAGCTCCAGCCCTCCATCCTGCAGGAGATCAGTGAGGAGGTAATGGGCTCACCTCCTCCTCCTCCTCTGCACAGTTTGGGGGGTTGTGCCAGCACACTTCAGAGCTCAGCTGGGTTTCCATGGCTTCCCTGTGCTTGTTGTAGCCAGGGCACTGGCAGGGATTTGAGCAGGATGGTCTGTGCCCAGCCTGTTCCTGGATGCCACCCTGGTGCCAGCATGTGTGTGTGTGTGTGTGTGTGTTTGTGTTCCTTAGGAAATCATGGAAACATGGAATTGGTTGGGTTGGAAGAAACCTTAAAACTCATCCATGGGCTGAGATACCTTCCACTAGCCCAGGTTGCTCCAAGCCCCATCCAGCCAGGCCTTGAACACTTGCAGGGATCCAGAGGCAGCCACAGCTTCTCTGGGCAACCTGTGCCAGGGCCTCACCACCATCACAGGGTATTCCTTCCCCATATCAAATCTAAACCCACCCTTTTTCCATCTGTCCCTCCCCCCCTGCTTGCCACCACTTGCTCAGTGATGCTTTTCCAGCGCTCAGTCAAACTGGCCCATACTGGGGGGTTCCAGCTGCCAGGCCCCCAGCTGTGTTGTTGGCTGTACTGGTGATGGGGGTCTGGGGTTGGGAAAGGTCCTTGGGGCCTGCTGGTCCTTGCTGAGGCTGTCAGAGCTGTTCCTGTGCTCTCGCAGCACAACCTGGTGCCTCAGCCACCCCTGCCCAAGTACATCCAGCCCTCTGACGAGCTGATCCTGGAGGATGAGCTGCAGCGGATCAAGCTGGAAGGAGCCATTGATGTGCAGAGGCTGGTGACAGGTAAGGGACAGTGGTGGCTCTGTGGTGGCACCCACCCTGCAGGTGCTGGCCAGGGTTGACCACCTGCTCTGCCATAGGGACCATCTTGGCTGTGTATGGCTCTGAGCAGGACGACGGCAGATTCCTGGTGGAGGATCACTGCTTCACCGACTTGCCACCACCACTGCCCTGGAACGGGCCCAGCTCTGACCGGTGAGTCAGCAGCAGCAGGACTGGGGCTGGCAGTGTGTCCCTGCTGTGTCCCTGAGCCCCTTGTCCCAAGAGGGCTGGCAGGGGGTCTGGGCCCCCTGCCCCAGCTCTCTGAAGCCCTTAAGTTTGGGAGCGTGGCACACTGCCTGAGCCTCTCCATCCATCCAGGTTTGTGCTGCTGGCCTCAGGACTGGGGCTGGGCAGTGTGAGTGGGGAGGCCCTGCTGAGCACTCAGCTACTGGTGGATGTGGTGACGGGGCAACTGGGTGCAGAGGGCGAGCAGAGCTGTGCTGCTCACATCACCCGTGTCATTCTGGCTGGGAATCTGCTGAGCCAGAACACACAGAGCCGAGACACCATCAACAAGGTACAGCAAGGAGGGAGCTGCAGCCTCGTGGTGCTCCTGGGGCACTGGGAGGGTGTGGAGAGGGGGAAGAGGGGGTGCAGGGTTGTCCCTCACTGTCTTCCCGCTCACCTAGGCCAAGTACTTGACCAAGAAGACCCAGGCTGCAAGTGTAGAGGCTGTGAAGATGCTGGATGAGATCCTGCTGCAGCTCTGTGTGAGTGCTCAGGGTTGGCTAGGGAATCAAGTTCCTTTGGGAGAGGGAGCCTAGTTCCTGACATGGGGTAGCAGTCTGGAGTGCAGGGTGGCAAAACCCCCTTCCCCAGCACCCAATTTCCCTTTGAGCACCCAATATGGGGAGGTAGATTGCAGCCCAGCTCCAGATCCTTCTCCTGGGATCTGGCCTCCTTGGTGGAGCCAAGTGCGGTGTCCTGGGAAAAAGGAGCAGCAGTGACACCAGCGCTTTGCTCTGAGCCCCCTTGGAGGGCACTTTGGCCACCCAGTTGGTCCCTGTTCTACCCACAGACCTCTGTGCCTGTGGACGTGATGCCTGGCGAGTTTGACCCCACCAACTACACGCTGCCGCAGCAGCCCCTGCACCGCTGCATGCTGCCCCTGGCCGGTGCCTACGCCACTCTGCACCTCGTCACCAACCCCTACCAGGCCAACCTGGACGGTGTCAGGTAAACAAACCTGGTGCTCTGGTGACTGTCAGTGGCGTGGGACCATGGGACATGTCCCAACATGCCCAGCATCTAAAGCTCTCCTTCTTTCCCCCATGATGTAGGTTTTTGGGGACGTCAGGACAAAACATCAGTGATATCTTCAAATACAGCAGCATGGATGACTACCTGGAGATCCTGGAGTGGACACTGCTGGCAGGACACATCAGCCCCACGGCCCCAGACACCCTCGGTATGGTGAGGGCTGGGAGGTTGTTGAATGGGGGGCTTTGCCAGGGGCTTCCCCCTAACTCCCATCTTCTCCAGGCTGTTACCCGTTCTACAAATCTGACCCATTTATCCTCACCGAGTGCCCTCACGTCTACTTCTGCGGCAATGCGCCCCACTTCCAGTCCAAGCTGCTCCAAGGTGGGTCTCACAGCACACCCAGATCATTGTGGAGGCTGGAAACCTGCACTGGGGGCTGCTGGGGGACTCCTCTGCCTGACACGCACTTGTGTTTGCAGGGAAGGAGGGGCAGCGGGTGCTGCTGGTGACAGTGCCGGACTTCAGTGCCACGCAGACTGCCTGCCTCGTCAACCTGCGCAACCTCACCTGCCAGCCCATCACCTTCTCCAGCTTTGGAGCTGACGGTGAGGATGGGGACATGGAAGTTGGACACTGACCATAGGGAGGGCACAGACTCCACATGCCCCCACTCCTCAAGGAGTCCTGGCAACCCACTGCCTTTGTCTGTCCTCTGGGAGGGTGACAGAGCTGGGTGGGGAAGCACTGGAGGGACAAGATGTTCATACCAATATAACTTGATTTATTTGTGTAACAAAAACTATATGGAGGGGAGAAAGGCTGTGCCTGCCTCCATGGGCCCTGCCCAGGAGAGCAGTACCAACCCTGCCATCCCACTGGGACATGGACAGTGGGCTGGCACTGCCCAGCTCTGAGGGATGGGTAGCACGTCCCTGACAGCACCCAGCGGTTGGCAACGCTGTCCACAATCCTTGGAAGCAGCAAGGTGAGGGGCTGGAGCCCACCTGGAACAGCTGCCTGGGCTCATGGAAGATGTTGGAAGCGGATGCCGAAGCGTCCGACCGTGGCTTGAAGCAGAGTGAGGGGTCAAGTGTTCCTAGTCCCCAAAGTTCACGGTGTAGGTTTCGGCTGTGGTGAGGGGCTGCGCCGTCCCCGTGTGCAACTCCCAGCCCTCCGTCTCTGTCACCAGCTCGGTGACCACCTCTGTCTCAGTGTCCATCTCCCAGGTGCCAGCAGTGGGTGGCTCCTGGCTCCAGGGTGTGTAGGCTGTGCTGCTGAAGGGGAAGGGCAGGGCCGTGGTGGACGGTGGGGCTGTGGGGCTGCTGCTGGCCACGGTGGCATTGAGGCGCCGCAGCCGCATCTGCTCCCGCAGCCGCATGCGGTGCCGCAGCCGCATCTGTAGGCGCAGGCGCTCACGGGGCGTCATGGGCCGGCCAGGCACCACACGGCGGATTGGCCGGTTCCCGTTCATGGCCATGATCTCCCGGATACGCTTCCAGTTGGAGCGGGACAGGACAAAGTTGCACTGGGTGGCCCCGATGTCGTAGAGGACATGGCAAGTCTTGACGCTGGGGTTGTAACCCTCGGCCCGTGCTGACACGCGGTACTCGCCCGGGTTCAGGATGCGCCAGTAGTCCCCGCCGCTGGCTGCGGATACAGGGGGCAGCAGGGTGGGGTGGGGGTGGCATGGTGCTGCCAGTGCCCTGCCAGCACCTCACAGTACCTACCTGTCCTTACGTTGTGGTTGATGCCACCCACCACAATGGTGGCATTGGCAATGGGCTCTCCCTGCTGGTCTGTCACTACACCCTTGATTCCCCGGTGGATCTGGGTGAGGAAAATGGATGAGTGGAACTGTGTGGGACAGGTGGGGCAGCTGGGCCACGTCCCAGTACACACCTGCTCCATGAAGGTGAGCAGAGACTCCTTGTTGTTCTCCCATTCCTGCTGCAGCTCAGTCTCATGGGGAAACTTGTCACAGCCCAGGTAAATGGAGAGCTCCAGGCAGTTGGTGTGCAGGTAGCTGAAGTCATTCATACCTGCAAGAGCATAGACATGCCCAGCCAGCCACTTGCTCACTTGCCAGTGGCCAGGTTATGGGGCAGCCACACCACTGGCCCCAACTTACTGCCAGCCCGGGGGTGCCACTTGGCACCCTGCACGATGCCCATGGCATCGGTTACATCCTGTGCATGGCAGCTTCCACGGAAGGTCTCGGTCATGGTGAGGTGTGCCGAGGCATAGGAGATGGCAAGCCAGCGGAACACAGCATGGTCGGGTGTCTCCTGCAGCTCAGGGTGCTCATCCTCATAGTCCAGTGGACGAGGGGCAGCTGCCGGTGTTGGGGGGCTGGGCCGGGCCGTGTCAAAGGGGAAGGACACCAGCTTCTCCCCACCCTGCAGGTTGGCTCCCAGTACAAAGGGGTTCTTGTCCATCCATGCTATGACAGCCCGTGTCTCCACTGCCACCTGTGAGGCATGCACAGGCAATGAAGTGTCACCCCCTGCCACCCTCTCCCCCTCCCTCTGCCCTGCGCCACACTCACCGCCGCATCCTCGGACAGGTAGTGCTCCGGGATAGGGATGTGATGGTTGGGGAACTGCTGGGGCACCAGCCGCCTCTCCTCAGCTGCCCACAGTGCTGAGGCCAGGTCAGGGAAGTTCTCAAAGAGGTCAAAGCCTTCCTCTGTCCAATGGCCCAGTGCCCAGTTGCCCAGTTCAGAGCCCTGTGGGCAGCCCAGGATACTGCTGAGTCTAGGGCGCCTGCATCCCACCACCCATGTCCCATCCCACTGCTCCAGGTCCCATCCCCTTCACTGACACATCTCAGGTGCCCAGCTTGGAGCCCTGCCTGGCCAGCCCAGGGCAGTAGTGAGCTGTAAGGGGGGTCTGCATCCTACTGCCCCACAGCCCATCCCAGCACCCCACATCCCACCCCACTGCTCCACTGTCCTACCCCACTGCTTCATGGCCCATCCCACCCCACTGCCCCCTCACCGCCTCATGGGCCAGCTCGTAGCCATCAGGGTTGAGGGATGGGACGAGGTGGATGCGGGTGTCGGTGACCAGGCCCCGCACGCGGGGATTCCCGTCCTGGTACTCCTTGCACAGGAACTGCATCAGCAGCAGCAGCAGCTCCCGGCCCAGTGCCTCATTCCCGTGCAGGCCCGCTGTGTACCGGAACTCGGGCTCACCTGCAAGCAGGGGCCAAGGAGGGTCAGCAAACACCTGGGACCATGGCTAGGGGCCACCAGTCCCTCACACCTCCCTCACCCGTCTCATGCTCGCCCGGGTTGTCGGAGACCTCCATGGCGTAGATCTTCAGCCCCCGTGAGCTCTTGCCTATGTTGTAGATGCGGGTGATGGTGGGACACTCCTCATTCACCACCTTCATCAGCTGCAGGGTGGGGAGAGATGGGGGCAGTGCTTGGGGGGGATGAGCCCACACCCTGCAGGGCATGCCACACCTATGGAGGATCCCATCCCATCACCTATGGAGATGTCCACCACCACAGAAGTGCCCACAACCACAGAGAATGCCATGCCCCAAAGATGTGCCTACCACCACAGGGGTGTCCACTCCTCATGGAGGATCCCATCAAACGAATGATCCCACAACCATGGGTGTTCCAACCCCACAGAGGATCCCATTCAATGGATTTGTTCACAGAGTACTCCATCCCCTACAGAGTATCCCACCCCCCACCAGATCTGCCCCCCCAGCAGGGCTCACCTGCCTCATGTCCTTGTAGGAGTGGTGTCGGAAGTCCAGGTTGTCCGTGGAGGTCACCTCATTCTGCTGGGTGTAGTAGCTGCTGACAGCTGAGGACAAGGACACAGCAGCAGGGAATTGCTGGAGTGATCCCACCCCCCGTGCCCCCCAGGGTGCTTTGGGGTGACTGTTACCAGAGAGGGGGCACCCCAGGACCTCAAGGCGCAGGCAGAGGCTCCCATTCCAGCGCTGGGGGTAGATGCGGATATACCGGGCCACCACTGGCTCAGGGAACTCGCTCAGCACTGGCGTGTCCTTGTCCACGTTGCCGTAAAACATCTGCCAAGGAGGGAGAGATGTACCCAAGAGGGTCCCCACATTGTTCCCACGTCACCCGCCCAGAGCAGGTCCCCACCATCTCCTCGTAGCCATTGCTGTACATCACCCAGTGTTGGCTGTCGTTGCTGAAGCCCACATAGAAGCTGGTGACAAAGTCATCACTGTGGGAGGACAGGGACAGGTTGAGACAGGGGTCCCCGTGCTGCTCCCCTACCCCATGTCCCCGGCTCCACCCCCATATCCCCATACTGGATCTGAGAGTCGCGACCCTGGGTGACGACACCGGTGAACATGGTGATGCGGCGGGTGTCCACCTCGAGCCAGTGTGCCCGGCTGTCATCCTCAGCACACCATGCCCCATCAAAGAAATCGTCCTCGTTGGTGCCTGCCTGGGGAGCAGTGAGTGACATGTGGGTGGAGATGTCACCGTGACCTGCGTGCCACTGTGGGGTGGGTGCTGGGGGTGACCCTCACCTGCATGTTGAGGCGGCCACGCTGGGCACCCAGCCCATGACGCAGCATGGAGGAGGCCAGGATCTGGTCATCCTCGATGCGGTGGGACTCCAGCCCGATTGGGGGACACCCTGGAGACAGCAAGGGGTAGGGGGTGATGGGCTTCCACCCCCAGCATGGTGCCCCTGTCACCCCAGGAATGGGGATGCTCACTTTTCTTCTCTGCTGGAGGGGTCCATTCCTCCTCATCTGGATCCCCCTTCTTTCCTCCTGTTTTTTTGGGTTTTCCTGGTAAAGGAAAAGGCACAGTGAGGGGGGCAGGGACAGGGACAGGTGTGAGGGTACAGGAATGGGGACTGGCACCCACCTTTGCGGTCCTGGCCCTTCTCCTCCACCCAGCGCTCCTCCTCCTCCTCCTCCTCTTTCTTGGGCTTCACTGTTGGTGAGGTGATACCCACCCCAGGGACATGACACCAGTACCAGGAACATGCCACCCACCCCAAGAACGTGCCAGTGAGCTAGGGGCATGACACCCACCCTGGGAACATGCCACCTCCCAGGGGATGTGACACTCGCCATGCAGACATGTCACTCACCCCAGAGACATGCCTCTCACTCCAGGGATGTGCCACCATCCCTGAAGACATGACACCCACCCTGGTGATGTGCCACCCACCGTGGGGATTTGACACCGAATGGAACACAGCCCAGGGACATGCCATCCTCCCTGTGGCTTTGCCATCGACCCTGGGGCACACATGCCCACCACAGAAACATGCACCTCCACTCCTGCTGGGCCCTGCCCACCCTGCCCAGCCTTCACCCCTTCTCACAGGGTCTGATTTTCTCCTTGTCCGTCTCCATCCTGTCCTCTTTGTCCGGGTGTTCATGGGTCTTCGTCGGGGGGGGCAGCCCGTAGGTCCCTGTAGGGCACAGAGTGGGGCTGGGACAACCTTCTGGAGATGGGAAGGGCAGGGATTATTGGGGTGCTGGGGTGCCTCATCCTTCCTGGTTCATCACTCACAGTCATCGTAGTCAGGTGGCTCGAAGCCCTCGCCATAGTCCCCTTCAGTCACCGGGCCAGGCAGGGGGGGCTGCGGGAGGGGCTGCGGGGGGGGCTCTGGCTCTGCTTGGGGGAGGGGGAGGAAAGGGGCTGTGCTGAGGATGGGGAGGCAATGAGGGTCCCCATGTCCCTACAGGGTGCCCTCTGTCCCCTATGGGGTCAGCATGCCCCTCTGGAACCCACATTTCCCTTTTGGGTTCCCACGTACCACGAGGTCCCCATGTCCCTCTGTATCCCACTGGGATGCCCATGTCCCCAGAGATCCCCACACCTCTAGTGTTCCTGCAAGAGTCCTCCGTGCTCCAACGGGAACTCCATTTTGCTACAGGGTTCTCCATGCCCCCACAGGGTCCCCATGTCCCTGCAGGGCTCTCTGTGTCCCTACAGGACCCCTCTATATCCCCAGAGGACCTCCTTGCCACCAAGAGATCTTCACACCCCTACAGGGTCTACGCATCCCTTATGCTGTCCCCATGTTCACCCCAGCTTCAGGCTGCCCCAAAATGCTGCTTCCCCGGATTCCCAAGGCTGGGGACTGTCCCACTACCTCACCCTGACGGTGCCAGCCCCCCATGTCCCCATCCTCCCACGTACCTGTCTCCTTGGGCTGGGGCCAGACCCGGTCAGGTCTCCTCCTGCCTGGGGGCTTGGGGGGCTTCTGCTGCCGCCGGATGTACTCGACTGGGGACACAGAGGGTGGCACTAGCTTTGTGGTGAGAGGCAGGGGGGGGCATGCCCTCCATCCCTCCCTGCAGGCCAGGGTCCCCGGTGGCCCCCCGCCTACAGCCCAGCACCGTACAATCCTCATAGTCCTCCCGCTCCAGCTGCTCGTTGTAGTCCAGAGTCGGGGGTTCTGGCTCCTCAGGGACCTCTGCAGAGAAGGGACACACAGAAAAGGGGCACAGGTTGCCACTGAGGTGCAGGCAGGGGACAACAGGGAGGGAGGTGGCACTTAAGAATAGGAAGGAGGCCCTGAGGTAAGGGTGACAGCCCTGGGGCATACAGGAGGTGACACCTGGGAGCAGGGAATTAGCCCAGAGTGCAGTGGAGTGCAGGGAAGTGACACCAGGGAGGAAGGAGGTGGCCCTGGTGTGCAAGGTGTTGGCACTGAGATGCAGGGAGATGGTGCTGGGACACAAGAAGGTGACACAGGGGTGCAGGAAGGTGGCATATGGGAACAAGGAGGTAGCCTGTGTTGCAGGGACATGGCCCTGGGGAGCTGGACATGGCATTGGGGTGCAGAAAGGTGACATTTGGAGACAGGGAGGTGGTCCCAAAACACAAGAAGACAGTCCTGAGGTGCAGAGGGGTGGCCCTGGCCTGCAGAGGAGTGTCCTCATGACACAGGGTGGTGACCCTTGGGAAAAGGCACTCACCTGGCTGCGGCTGAGGGTTCCAGTCCTCCCGGCTCAGCCCCCAGCGCTCATTTAGTGACTCTTCTCGCTCTCCTGGGGACAGAGACAGAGCAAGGGACTGCTGTGACCTCCCAGGGCCCCTGTCCTGCCCCCCCCTAGCCCCACAGTGGGAAGAAAATCCCATGGGAAAGAAAGTGGGGAGACAGAGGAGAAACGCAAGGGGACAAAGCCCAGCCAGCTGTAGGGTGCTGCCAGGGCAGCTGAGAGCAATGTGGGGTGATGCTCTGCTGTGCTGAGGCCTCCCATCCCAACCCCACTAATGGCAAGGTAAGTGTCCCCAAAACTCACCTCGGACACCTCCATCCTCCTCCTCCTCCTTGTTGTGCAAAGGCTCCAGGAACCTGTGTGTCTTTTCATCCTCTTTGCCCTGTGAGGGCTGCAGGATACTGGGGAGTTCAGGGGAGGGGCTTGGTGGCACTGGTGGCTTCTTGCCAGAGGGCTTGGTGGCCTTGGGTGGCTTCTCCTTGGGCTTCTTGGAGCCTTTTGGGGTTTTTTCAGAGGCTTTTGGAGGTTTTTCAGAGGCTTTTGGAGGTTTTTCAGAGCCTTTTGGTGGCTTCTCCTTGGACTTCTTGGGGGGTTTGTTCTTGCCCCGGTCTTTGTCCTTAACCTTGTCCTTATCCTTCTTGGGGCCTCGGGGTCTCTCCTTGGGCTTCTTGGGGTTTTTTTCCTTTTTCCCCTTCCTGGGTCTCTCAGGCTCCACCAGCGACCCCGGAGAGCCTGAGGGGACAGAAGCGGAGGGGCAGCCATGCCGAGGCAGGGGGAGCGTGGCGGGGCCGGGTTAGGGGGTCCCCCCCATCCCACCCCTCCCATTCCCGTGGGATCCTGGTGCCGAACACTCACCGGTGCCGGTGCCGATGCTGAGGTCGGCGCCGAAGCCCAGCTCAGTACCGTCCCCGTCCCGGTCGCCGTCCCGGTCCCCGCCGTCCCCGGGTTCAAGGAAGCCCCGCAGAAACTCCTCGATCTCGGCGTCGGTGAGCGCGGGGGGGCCCGGGGCTGCCCCCGGTGCCGGTACCGGCAGCAGCGGCAGCAGCGCGGCCGTCAGCAGGAGGCAGGAGCGGGGCGGCCCCGCCGGGACCATCGCGCTCCGCACCGGCCCCGCTCCCCGAGAGCCCCGGGAGCCCCGGGCGGGCGGGCGGGGGGCGGTGCTGCGGCCGGGGGCGGGATCCGCTCGGCACCGAGGTGGTACTGGCGCTTAACGGGACCGGGCTGCCACTGAACGGGACGGGCACCGACACCGTCACTGTCGCTGGGCCGGGACTGCCGGGAACCCGCAGTGACACCGCGCGGGACTGGCGCTGCCCGGCACCGGCACCGGGACTGGCACCGGGACTGGTACTGAGCCCACACTGGCGCCGTGCGGGGCCTGGGTTACAGGGGCTGGTGCTGCATCAGCGCTTGCCCGACGTGGGGATCGGCGCGACACTGGCACCGGCCCTGTGTCACCACGCCAGCCCCACTGTGACGGCCCGGCCCCAGCGCTTGCACCGGGCCCGGAGCTGCGCCCGCAGCAGTGGCACCGACACCGCGCTCCCGGGTCACGGCACACGCCTGTACCTCCGTACCCCTGTACCCCTGTACCCGCACACCCCCGTACCCCTGTACATCACCTGGAGCAGGGCACGGACATGCTGCACGAGCTAGGACACGGAATGTGAGACATGCACAGCACATGGAATATGCACAGCACATGCACACACGACACACACACACGGGTCACACACTGCACATGGACCTGGCACACACAACACACCTGATACACACACAACACACCTGATACACACACAACACACCTGATACACACACAACACACACACACGGGACACACACTGCACACACACCCCGCACACAGAA